TATGCTCCTTTGGAGCAGGCTCATAGTGTTCTTGAAAGTCGTGTGGCCTAGAATATCGTTGTATACATTTTATGATGAACCTGGGTAGAGCAACTGAGCAGATTAATTTGTGGGTGAGATAGAACCACTCTCCAAAAGAGGAATACAAGCCGAACTTGCGGGACTCGATGGGGACTGAAGTTATTCTAACAGAGCCAAACTGACTCTCAGTGTAATAAGCTAGGTCCCGAGACGTCTGCGTCTCGCTAGTTTCCTACACTATTTAGTATGTTTTGCCGCAGCAGTCCTCAGTGCCATCAACCTCCTTCAAAATAATTTATAAAACCAACTCAGGATTCAGACAAAGTAGTTTGCGAAAGTAGTTTTCCATGCGCATCGCTCACTCGCGGGGCAGAAAATCACAAAAAAAGTCACAGAACTATTTCCAATGTTTCTCAAGGTGTTCTTCTACGACTTGGTTCCACAAATTCAGAAACTGTCGTACTAACTGTTTCTGAAATCGTGCACCTGCACGTATATGACCTGAGGGAGCGATGCATTGGTGACGGGATCCATCAGTTCTATGATGTAATTCGGACCACCTCCCAACGCCCTTCAAAAAAACCATTTTCAGGCCGATGTCAGACTTTGCGAATCGCGCGATTCGCTAGCGTCTGCGGTCGCGTCGCGGCCAGTGAATCACTCAATTGGCTGGTACCGCAACGCGACCGCGGACGCTAGCGAATCGCGCGATTCGCAAAGTCTGACATCGGCCCAAAGGACGTTACCAAAGTTGCTCCGCCCTCTAGCCATTGCGTTCAGTGCCTTTAGGTTCTAAAGGATGAGGGGAAGGCATAAAGGAAGACTTGCTCAATACTGAAAATAAAACAAGAATCAGCATTCGGCAATCGGCCTGTATTCGGGTTATCGTCCTATATTCAGACTTCTTACACAATTAAATGCTTTCACTAAGTACCAAATTAATACTTGTTATTTTTGATACCATATTATGACGAGGCGCAATTTGAAACTGATGATAGAGGAGGATTTTCAGAGTACATCCCCAGTTATATCTTTGATCCGATCGTTAGCGCAACGGCAGCAGAAAAACAACAATTTGTCGGTTTTGTCAACGATTTAATGGCGGGGAAATTTGCAAATGTAACTGTGGACAATTTCCAACAATTCATTCAACTCATACAACAGGCTGGTGATTTCTTGAACAACAGCGAAACTTACAAGGAACCACATTTTTTAATGTCAGAGTAATTCAGCCCATGTGAGGAATAGCTTTTTCTGCCAGTCGAGTTGGTCTATGAGAGAAATTTCCACAGAAAGTCTTTTATACTAATTTTACCATTTCCACGAAAGCGCTGTCTGTGTGGGTTCAAAGTATCATGTTGTGATCCTTTTTTGAGTGGGAGAATTCCAACCTTGCCAACCTGAACCCGCATTCATATACAATGAAGTGTCCTATTTCTTTTCGTGTCGTGTGCTCAATTGATTGAGTGAGACACCGATTGGTCTTTTTTTAAGATCGGGAAGATCATTTATGCGTGAAGTTGAGAAGAGTACGAAAAGAAAAATTTGAGGAAATTAAGGCTATTCTTTCTGTTGTTTTGAACAAGTAGCGATTGAAACAACCCTCAGTCAAGGTCGAGAGCTTAGCATCAAGATTTCAGATTTCGGCTTTTCTTACTAATTCACGACGGTACGGCGCATGACTGGTTGACGTGCTATTTCGCAATAGGAAGGTTCAGAAGCATGGGGATCCCATTTCTGTGCTCGGTCTTCTTCAGAAAAACGCTTGCCGTGAAGAGGAATGATGCCAGAATAAGTAACGAAAGGAGAAGTAAAAATAGGTTAGGAAAAATCGATGCAAAAACTTCATCTGCCTCAGGGTGTCCACATAATTTTGATACAAAGAAAAAACTTTCCATGAAAAATAGTTCGCTAAGTTAGAACGAAATCTTTTGCGGAAAATGT